CCCCCAGCCATGAATCCCGCCGAAGGGGCGGCGGAGGAAGGCGCTGTCCCCGACTCCGAGGTGGATGCTTTCTTCCGAACAGGTAGGGGAGCTGCGGGGAAGGGGCCGGAGTAGCGCCGGGCCCTGCCTCCGCCGCGGGATGCGGGGCTGGCGGCGGCGGCGGCAGCGGCGCGGGCACCGCCGGCGGCGGAGCTGCGGGGAGGGGAAAGGAGGGGAACGAAGGGGGTCCCCGTCCGCCTTCTCGCTTTGTCCGCCGCAGCCCCTCGGCTCCTCTGCGCCTCGGTCCTCCCTCCTGCCCCCGGAGGGATGCTACTGCGGGGCTGCCGACCGCCTCGGGAGAGGACCGGGAGGGCCACCGCCCCGAGCAGGCACAAAAGCCCCGCGGGGATGCTCGGGGAGAGCCGCCGCGTTGTCGTCCCCGCGGGAGGTTTCGCCGGCTGTGTCCCACCGGGTCCCCGCCCCGGGCAGCAGCGGCGGCCGGCCGGCTTTTAGAAGCGGAGCTGGCTGCCTGCCCTGCCCGCCCCGCTCCGCTCTGCCCTGCCCGGGCGAAGCGCTGGGCACTACCCCTGCCGCCCTCGGGTGGGCACGGAGGGCTGGGGAGCCCCGGGCAGCGCTCGCCCGCAGCCCCGCTGCCGGTCGGGGATGCTGACCTCGCAAAGTGTCTGAGGGCTGGGCGAAAACCGTGTGTTTGCCCGTGTTTCCTCCGGTTTCAGAGGATGCTGAAGTGGAGAGGAGGAGTAGCTGGGCTACAGCAGAGCGTGGTGAAGGGCCTTCCCTAATGATGCACTGGTTAATTAGATTCTCTGGGCAGTGGGTACGTGATGGGGTCCCCACTGCACCAGTTCATGAGGTGGTGTTTGTGTGGGAGCCCTCAGCACTCAAACATGGTTTTGCACAGGATCAGTGTCTCAACTGAAACAACTTGTGATCTGCTTCCCCCGCCCCCCCTGCCTCCCCTTCCATAGACAAAATCTTAAGAAAGTATTATAGGCTTCTTGGTAGATTTTTTTAATTAAAAATTGTAAAGGATTAAATGCTTGTTTCATAAGGGGATTGACCCTTTTAGGCTAGGACCGACACTTACTGCTACAGCTGTTTGTCAAGACTTTGCTTTTCAGCTGTTTTCTTCCTTCTACCTGCTCATTAGCTACACGCAGCGCTTTGAGCTCCAGTTACAAAAAAACAATTATGTAATCACCAAAACTTTAAAGTAGTAAAATCCTGAAGGCCTGCAGCAGCTCCCTGCTATGGTAGACTGCACCCCATTTATGTGAAAGCCCTTTGATCTAGAGGATAACTATAATAAGGTCTGGCTGTGCGTATCTTGTGATCCACAAGCCATTAAGCCATAGGATATTTGCCTGTTGATAGCCTACCTGGTTACAACTAATTTCCTAAGTCTCAACAATGACAGATTTGTTTCAAAAAAGAAAAACCTAACCCACCAATTTTCCTTCTAAAAGGAACCTGTTAGTTAAGATTACCCCCATTTTTCTTCTCTCTCTCCCTTCCTTCTCGCAAAGCTGAACAATTTCTCAGTGACACTGCCTTCTCAACCTAAGCATGTTGGCAGAATAGAGTCAAGGCTGTCTAGCTTGTATGAAAAAAGTATTCATAAATGAGGAAAAAGTGCAGGGAGCCACGTGAATAGACATTTCTCCCAGACTGCCTCTTTCACCTGAAGATCCACCTGTAGAGCCATGAATACACTTGTCACCTGTATTATACATTTAAGGTGGAGATTTTAGAAGGTCTCCTAATGTTTCTGCTTTTTGAGGAAACAAAATCACAGGAACCTGGCCCTGGGAGGGATTCCTAGGCCACATCCTTGCACTGAAGCATGTATGTATAGGCTGTTCCTGATGGTTGTCTCACCTACCTTAAGCTTCATCAAAGGAGATGGAACAAAATCTTGTTTCTGCGCTGTTATGTAGCATCTTGTGTCCAAAAAGATGACATGAAAAAAACCCCAATGTATTAGTAATTAATCTTGATTGTCCGCTGTTACACTGGCAAGGCAACGTCACTGGGAAGTGGGGAAAATACATGAGAGTAGACCTCGACTTGCATGAAATTGTACTGTTGGTTTCCTGTGTTGTTTGTGCACCGGTCACTTCTGGGGTTTGTGCACTGCTGTTGTGCCTGTCTGAAGTTGGTTTTAATGGATGGTAGAGAGAACAGCTGATGTGGGCCTTGGGAGGACAGTTGCAGACAGGACACCTGACTGGCCCATTCCTCCTTTAGGCTGTCAATGGCAGCCTTGCCTGAGTGAGAACTCCTAGATGGAGTCCAATTTGTAATAGCTGCAGACATCTGCATTGTCTTAGCATCCTTTCCTTCTTCATTTTAGCTTTTTTCTTTTATTCTGTTTCTCCTGACTTGTATTCTGGATTGGTAAAGCATAAAAGCATAACCACTGTGGCTTACATGCCCTTGTATGTTCGCATCAAGTGAAAAAATGAATCTATGTGCTTTAAAGATCAGCTGCTCCAATAACACAAACGTACATTAAACTGCCCAAACTTCCTGAATTCACAGCTACTACACAGAAAAGCATGAACTCATTATTTTCAGTGGAAAAAAAAATGGACTCCAAACAACTACTATCTCACTCGGAGGCTTTTAGCAACCAGCTGGGCTTTGCACTGAGCCGGGAGGATCGATAGGCTGCTCCCTGGTACCAGCAGAGGAGGCTGATGCTGGGAATGGCGCCGCGCACGGAGTGGCTCCCCCAGCAGCACCCAAACACACGGAGGTAGCAGTCCCTTGTCAGCGATGACAACTGAGATAGCAGCTTTCTGAGCTCTACCTGGAAAGTAAAACTGAGGGAATTAACACGAGGTAATAAAGAAGGGTCTGTTCTGGTGCTTACGCTGATGAGAACTAGGAATGACTTTTAAGAAAAGGGTGGATTTAACACCTGTGTGGTTGGTGCTGCTAGTCAGTTAAACCTCCCCGGAGACAGGCAGGGTAGGGACTATTCTAATTTTCACCATCAGATATATGCAGAGAGTAATTCAAGTAATTCATTTTTTTTTTTTTTTTTTTTGACAATCACTCCCATGTAACTGGGATAAAAATTAACAGGCAGAGGGACTTTAAGGGCAGAAATGACTATTGCAGTCTCCAGCTCTGATTTCTGGGATAACACTGGCTGCTGAATTGAGGCAGTAATTTCTGTGTGACATCTATCGCTTCTATTTGAGCTTATGTTTGAGTAAGAAACCAAATCTATGCCTAGGTATGCCTTATTAAGTTTCTTATGTCTATTTTTGTGACATAATAAAATATGAGCAAGTTCTGTGGAAGTCTCGGTAGTCTATATTAAATAAGCACCAAGACTTTTTATATTGTGTGGAATTGAATTCAAATATTTGTTGTTTCAAACATAATGTAAGTCCCTTTGCAAAGCAAATGACTGACAGGTATCCCTTGGATATAGACATGGAGGGAAAGCTTTACCTTTTGTGCCTAAACTGCAGCAATTTTTGCAGTGTGTTTTGGAAACAGAGGTGAAACATACAAGGAAATCCTTTACCAAAACTTTAAATATTTATAGAGGTCAGTGACAGAACAGTTTAGCACATTACCAATTACTGGCAAGAGTAATCATCAATATTTCTTATCCACTAGTAGGTACAGTTTTATTTTCTAATTTATTTTTCTGGCACTTAAGTATAACATTGATTATGTCTGATCTGAAGATGCCGACTTTGTCATCAATACTTCCTGTCAGTGAGTTGAAAATTGATATTGTTCCATCTCCTTTGACTGCGATGAATTATTCTGTTTGCTTTCTGCTTTCCACCAGCCGGTTTTACTTCTAGCGTTGTTCATTTATGCATAAGTGACTGGCAGCTCTGCTACTAAATAACTTTAAAATGATTGGCAGTGGCCAGGCTGCTTGATCAATAGACGTGCTTGAAATGATGTCTGCAGAGAAGTGCTCCTCGAGGTTGATGGAATCAAGTGTCTCTCATAGAACAGCTAAATTAATTCAACCAAGTTGTCACTGGGGTTGAGATGTTCGTGTGACGCCTGGCTTCCTCACCTTGAGACTTTATAAGGCCTGGTCTGGTAATGTGTGCTGATAAAGGAGGCTCTGTTGGAGAAAACACTGTCAGGTTGTGCCTACCACTTGGAAAGCTCCTGTATTCTTTAAGGTGATGCTGTTAATTAAAATCTGTACTGCTCTCTGGAGGCTTTGACCTATGACCCTGTCAGGAATATGAGGTTTGTTCCTTTCTTTCTGTATTTTCTACTGTAGCTGTTTTTTCATGTGATTGACACGGGGCAGGAGGACAATTATCTTGCTACATAGGTTCTCCCAAGCCTTGGTCACTGGACACTCCAGTGCACAGAGAGGTCCATGTGGCTCTGCCCTGCTGTTGTTGCATCTCCTGCTCTGGACTCTTAGAGGGATCTCTGCTAGTCTGGGAATTGGCATGTAGATATGGCAAAGGATGCATAGGAGAATCAAGAGGTCTTGGTGGGAATGACTATCCTCTTCCTCCTCTTGCCCTGCAGACACTGCCCAGAAATGGGGCGGAACCTGCTGATCTGTGGGGTCTTGTGATAAAAGGGAAGGATGTCTTTTTGTCTGGTCCTGGAAGGTAGCAATTTAAATTGATTTATGTTCAGAAAAGCATTTCTTTCCCATACTTCTTTCTTCCTCCCCACTCAGAAGTACGTACAGGGCAACAGGGGTGACATCTGATAGTCATTTACAATGTGTTTCTTCTGGATGAGATTGCATTGTGTTATAGGCCAGTAGGAAGATATTTATTCTATTTTATATTAATTTAATTAATGCTGAAGAGAATTGCTTCCAGAGGAAGAGGCCTTTCACACCCAGCTTCTGTTCAGAGCTGGTATGGACTGAATTTAATTTCCAGAACAGAGTGCAATAGGAAACATAAGTTTATAGCACAGACAATAGTGAACAGCAAAGGCAATGCAATAAGGCTCGATATGGCACCTGCAGAAGTTATTGGGGGGGGGGAACCTGTTGCCTATGCAACTGGTTGAAAGGTTTTTGGGGTTGAAAGTCTGAAAGAAGAAAAGCACCATCCCAAAGCCATC